TCCGACACTTCTACAAACCGTTTGGTAAACATCTCATATATATTTGTATAAATTTTCATACTGTGGGTGCATGTATCATGTTTGTGTGTTACATAATGTGTTTCTTATATAATTTTGAAAAAAATATCATAGATAGATTAAGGGAAATGTCTATATTAACGTAATATGCAACATTAATGCGCCCAAGAGATTATTATTACTATTATTATTACTATTATTATTATTATTATTATTATTATTATTATTATTATTATTACTGCATCAAGAGTAGAGAGACTCTTAGTGATTTTAATGTGTACCTACATGCCAGCACAGTGTGTAAGTTTATTTAGGTACAGGTGTACACAAGTTTAATTATCAAGTACAATACATATAAAATATACAATAACTTTAAAACACTTGAAATTTTGGAAAGTTTCCAGACATAATAAGGAGATGTGCTCAGGGAGAATGTAAACAAACTCGGTGGGCCGCTGTGACCGTATTAGAAAGACAGGTGGGGGGAGCCGTATAGCGAGTTTTGGTCATAATTTGAAATGTCTGTATTAGCGGAACGCCGTAAAGCGAAACGCCGTAAAGTGGGGCCCTCCTGTGTATATATATATATATATATATATATATATATATATATATATATATATATATATATATATTATATATATATATATATATATGCTGCATATATTATCTAAAATTACATTATTACTCCAGGCTTTGTGGTACTGATCCTAGACAATGTATGTTGTGGAAATTTTTTACATAATTTTTACATAATTTTTTACATAATTATATTATTCATTTATATGTAGAACATATAAATGAATAATATAATAATTACGTATTAAAATGTGATGCTATTTGGACCCTTCGAGAAATTTCGAGTGAGGGGGAGGAAGAATAGCTGAGTGATGCTGCAGAGAGGTAGACACCATTTGTAATTTGTGAACACTGGTTGTTGTGAGAAATTCTGCTAATAATCTGGCATCTTCTGAGCCAAATTGGGGGTTTTTGGCCTGAATTTGTAATAGGAACCTGTGTTAATGTATCCTGCTGAAGAACTAAGAACTGGGACAGGAAATTTATGGGACCTCAACAATTATGTGTAGATGGTGGAAGATGAGGAATATGCCATCACTCACACATGTAGATCCACTAGCTGGCCAGTGTAGGGTCTAGGTGTCAGGCAGGTGTTGTGGTGTGATCCATCTACAGTAATTAAATACTAAGTGGTCATACAAATTTCTTTTGTATACCCAGCAAGCCTAATCATACAGTCCACACAATTTTTATTTACCAGAGTAGCTGGTTTTAATATTGAAATTATCAATTTAATGCCAGGTCTAGCTTTTTGTGTGAGTTGTGAAGTGGGCATCGAGGGAGTTACAGTTCAGCAACCTGCTGGAATGACACCCTATCATTGACCTAGTCACCACCAGCAGCAACAACCTGGTTGATCAGGCAAGCACCAGATGGGAGTAGAAAAACTCTTCAAACCCATCAAAGGTATCCCTCTCTGTGAGGTTTGTCGTGTCCCTATTTCGGTTCTTCACTTTCTTGTGGATTGTTCAGTATACCAGTGAGCTCGCAGGATTTACCCCCACTGCCCTACCGCTTACCTTATCTTCCCTTCTTGCAAACAGCCCTTCCTTTGACTTAGGATCACTTGACTTTTTGTCAGCAACTGCTTTACTATACGAGCTTTGACACATAGCCCCTAACATCCCTTCCAGCCCTTTTCTCCCCTCACCTCTGATCCCCTCTCCACCTAGCTATTTAAAGCCCTGGCACTATTTTGTGCCTCGCAGTGCTGCATGACCCTTGTCGGTTTTGTGCTTTATTATAATAATTACTATATGTTTAACCCTTTCAGGGTCCGTCCCGTAGATCTACGGCTTTACGTTCAGGGTCCAAACCGTAGATCTACGCCATGAGCTCAGCTCACTCTGATAAACTGTGAGTGGTACATTTGGGCCTAGATATGAGAGAATACATCTATTTGGTATGTGTGCACCACATAAAACAGATCCTGCAGCACACTGTGTATAATGAGAGAAAAAAAATGAAATCATGATTTTTCGATTAAAACAGCAACTTTGCAGTGTTTTTTCGTATGTTTTTTATAGTTGTATTTGCGATTTCTTGGTCTCATTTGATAGAATGGAAGACATATTACAGAAATAGAGATGATTTTGATTGGTTTTAGCACTGGAAATGGCTTGAAACTGAGCTCAAAGTAGCAGAAATGTTAAATTTTTGCCGATATTCAAGAGTAAACAAACGACCTCACACGTCTAATACACGTCAGCTGGTGGGTCTAATATACATTCACAAATATGGTGATGATATTTATACAATTATTACCGTATTGCATAACAGTAAATCTTCTATTTTTTGGTGTGAATAAAAATTCATTATGTGAATAAAAAATCAAAATGGAATTTATTTGTAAAGCCTCAAAACATAACTAATGAACAGAGGAAATGTTAGTTTAGTGCCAGGAATGCCTACATTGTTCATTCTGGACCCTATTTTGAAATTGGAATATTTTGAACTTTGTGTTAAATTGGCCAAATTAACAATTTCCGATCACTTTATTTTGTAGTTGAAACAGTTGACTTGGCGATTTCTTGTGCTCAATCGATAGAATAAAAGTAATACTAGTGAAATAGCTAAGAATTTGGTTGATTGGAATAATGTAATTGGCCTAAAATGGGAGTCAAAGTCGGCAAAATCGCCGATTCGTAAATATCGCTGACACATCAAAATTCGCGAGAGCATAATTTCGTCAATTTTCCACCAAATTTCGTACTTTTTGTTTTATTACCTTCACAAAAATATTCTCTACGATTTCATAAGAAAAAATAACAATTTTTTTTTTTTTAAATTCTTGGACACTGGTGCGTGACTCCAGATTTGGGCCTTGGACCCTGAAAGGGTTAAAAGTCTATATTACTTAGCAACATCAGGTGCTAAAAAAGGTACTAAATCAGATGCTAAAGTGTTATCTTTTTTAGTTAAATTTTATTATACTCAATGGCTCATACAGTGTTAGCTTAAATAATTGCCTTAACCCTTTGAGGGTCGACAGGCCCTCTCCGAAACTCGTTCTCAGGGTTGGCCAAATTTAAAAAAAAAAAATTATTTTCTCCTATGAAAAGATAGAGAATCTTTTCCCGATCATAAAGACACCAAAAGTTTGAAATTTGATAGAAAACTTACGGAATTATGCTCTCGCAAAGTTAGCGGTCTCGGCGATGTTTACGCATCGGAGATTTTGCCCACTTTGAGCCCCATTTTCGGCCAATTTCACTGTACTAGTCGACAAAAAACATGAATATTTCGCTAGAACTCCATTTTTTCTATCGAATGAGTGCAAGAAACCACCCATTTATGAAATTCAACTATCCAGTACAGTGGTCAGAATTTAGCAATTTTGCCAATTTCACACAAATTTCAAAAGATGCCAATTTCCGAATAGGGTCCAGAATAAACAAGAAAGACATTCCTGGCACTAAAATGACATTTCCTCTAGTCATTAGTCACGTCTCAAGGCCCCTCTTATATTCTTTTCCTTTCCACTTTGAATTTTTATTCTCACAAAAAATATAAGATTTACTGTTATGCAGACTACTGCATTAGTGTAAAAAATGGTATAAATATTATTGGTGCACTTGTGAAAGAATATTAGACTCACCAGTTGACGTGTATTGCATGCTTGGCACGATTTGTTTACTTTTGAAGTTTGGTAAAAATCGAACATTTCTGCTACTTTGAGCTCAATTTCAAGGCACCTTTCATTGTAAAACCAGTCAAAATCATCTCAATTTCTGTAATATGTCTTCCATTCTATAAAATGAGACCAAGAAAACTAGAATACAACAATAAATACCATACGAAAATACACTGCAAAGTCGCCGATTTATTAAAAAAAAATGGTAAAAGTTTTTTTTTTCTCATTATGCACTGTGTGCTGCAGGATTTTTTTTAGACTGTGCACACTGACCACATAGACCCATTCTTTCATATGAAGGCCTACCAGCTTTCTCCCACTAGATTTGAGGCCGCTAGAATTTATGAGTACTAGTACGTCAAAAACCCCTACGCGTAAGACGTACTAGTACGACCAAAACCCTCAAAGGGTTAAATCCATATACTCATATTTGTTAGTGGTTAACCCTTTGAGGGTTTTGGTCGTACTAGTACGTCTTACGCGTAGGGGTTTTTGACGTACTAGTACGCATAAATTCTAGCGGCCTCAAATCTAGTGGGAGAAAGCTGGTAGGCCTTCATATGAAAGAATGGGTCTATGTGGTCAGTGTGCACAGTCTAAAAAAAATCCTGCAGCACACAGTGCATAATGAGAAAAAAAAAACTTTTACCATTTTTTTTTAATAAATCGGCGACTTTGCAGTGTATTTTCGTATGGTATTTATTGTTGTATTCTAGTTTTCTTGGTCTCATTTTATAGAATGGAAGACATATTACAGAAATTGAGATGATTTTGACTGGTTTTACAATGAAAGGTGCCTTGAAATTGAGCTCAAAGTAGCAGAAATGTTCGATTTTTACCAAACTTCAAAAGTAAACAAATCGTGCCAAGCATGCAATACACGTCAACTGGTGAGTCTAATATTCTTTCACAAGTGCACCAATAATATTTATACCATTTTTTACACTAATGCAGTAGTCTGCATAACAGTAAATCTTATATTTTTTGTGAGAATAAAAATTCAAAGTGGAAAGGAAAAGAATATAAGAGGGGCCTTGAGACGTGACTAATGACTAGAGGAAATGTCATTTTAGTGCCAGGAATGTCTTTCTTGTTTATTCTGGACCCTATTCGGAAATTGGCATCTTTTGAAATTTGTGTGAAATTGGCAAAATTGCTAAATTCTGACCACTGTACTGGATAGTTGAATTTCATAAATGGGTGGTTTCTTGCACTCATTCGATAGAAAAAATGGAGTTCTAGCGGAATATTCATGTTTTTTGTCGACTAGTACAGTGAAATTGGCCGAAAATGGGGCTCAAAGTGGGCAAAATCGCCGATGCGTAAACATCGCCGAGACCGCTAACTTTGCGAGAGCATAATTCCGTAAGTTTTCTATCAAATTTCAAACTTTTGGTGTCTTTATGATCGGGAAAAGATTCTCTATCTTTTCATAAGAGAAAATAATTTTTTTTTTTTTTTAAATTTGGCCGACCCTGAGAACGAGTTTCGGAGAGGGCCTGTCGACCCTCAAAGGGTTAACAGTAAATTTTTATTTTTTTGTAACATTCACAATTATTTGTAAAATTAAAGGTATGCATGTGCCTGTTGGGCAACTCCAATACCAAATTTAATAAGAATCTTGCCAAAAGAAACACAATACAATATTGTGAAAAATTACTTTAATTATTATGAGTAGCCTTAAAACATTTATTATATTTTTATTTATAAAGTTACCTACTAATTACACAATACATCTGCATCAGAAATATATTTCAGTAATTCATTTAAAAATCAAATGACTATTAAAACTCATAATAAATGACAAACAGAAATGGCAGAGACCAACAATTACATAGATTTGTGAAAAATAATGCATATAATATAAATAAAGCCTTAATGAACAATCATGCAAAACTTATAAAACATTTTCATGATAAAAATATTACATATTTAAAATGACTTGGTTATCATTATCTTTATAAGTACTATATATATATGGTTGTACATGTACAAAAGGCACTCTAGGCAAACATGGAATTCTTTCTGTACTTTTGAGGAAATTATTATTATTATTATTATTATTGTATAGGGAAGTGTTAAATCTGTAAAAATCACATATTGCTTAGGGAATGAATGGAAATCTGGTTTGCTTCAAGGAAAGGAGAGGTAAGGCAGAAACAGAGCTCTCTGGACAGATATTTCTTGCGACAGGGGTCCAGTGACTCTCAAGCTGGTCCTAGTGGCATTAAAACACAAAGAAGGGAGGTAACCCCAGAAAAGGACTTGTTACCTGAAGTCTTAATGGAAGGGGATTCCCCTTCTAAACAATAGTACACCTCCATCCTCTCCCTCCCGTCTCATCACTCGTCAATAAGTCCACAATAAGAGTAAGTGTCATTTCAGTATTGTTTATTGTGCATGTCTCATTGTTTTCTGTGTAGGGAAATGCATATTTCATGTAAAAAAATTATTTTGTTTAATACTTTTGGGTGTCTGGAATGGATTAATTGGATTTCCATTATTTCTTATGGGGAAAATTAATTCGGCTAACGGCAAAGTCGGTTAAAGGCAAGCTCTCTGGAACGGATTAATGCCGTTACCTGAGGGTCCACTGTACCACGATTTCAGAGACAGGTGAGGTAGAGATTGGGGAGACTATGGAGGGAATCAGAGGTTTGAGAGGGGTGGGGGGTATGAACCTGGAGAGATGCGTTAGTAGGGGCAGAAGAGTCCTGCAGCGGAACAGGAGAGGAAGGAGGTTGGAAGGTAGCTAGGGAAGAAGACTAGGGGAAACAGAAGAAGGGACTACACAAGGGGGGTGACCCTCAACCTTCGTGTGTGAGTTAGAAAGGGGGTGAGAACTAGGCACCGAGGTAAAAGATAGATTCAACTTCACAGGTGATAGGCACGAAGGTGTAGGCTTTTGAGGTCTCACAGACTGAGAAACTAGCGAGCGAGATGAAGTAAAAGTAGGAAGTACGGAGGGAGAAGTTTCAAAGGGTAAAACCGCAAAAGAATTAGAAACGGGTGACCCCGAAAGACACGGTAGCAGAGGAGCTGGTAGGTGGGAGGACCGTCAATATACTCGAGAATAAGGAACACGAGGAAGATTTCCCCGAAGGCGAAGCTGAGAGACAGCCATAGCGTAAGTAAGGTTGTCACTATCTTTAAGATTACGGATTTCTCATTCATTAAGAGAGACTTGACAACGGCATGAAAAAGAAGGATGAGATTCATTGCAATTGAGACAAGAGGAAGGAAGATTGCAAGATGTATAGGCATGATCTGCGGCACTGCAGATCGGGCACTCCGCCGCAAATCTGCAATATTTAGCGGGGTGTCCAAAGCGCCAGCATTTCCCACACTGTTGGGGAGTAGGGACTTTATAGACTTCAAGGCGATGGCCTGCAATATAAACGGAGGATGGGAGTTCATAGCAGTCGAAGGTTAAGCAGACAATGTTACTGGGAAAGCGCCTCCGCCCGTGAGCAGGCAGGATGTATGTATCCACTTTGAGAATAGGAAGGTCCTGAAGGGCTAACTGCTCTAAAATATCACTGCAAGACAGAATATCACTTTGTACAATGGTATGTAGTAAAACCACCATACCCCTGCAAGAATTGAGAGTAGCATGCTTATAAACTTTAATTAGAATGTTATCTATAAGTAATATGGGACAAATGATCTTGTTCTGAATTCTTAACTGTAACGATGAGCGTACTGCTTCAAAGAGCGTGAAAAGATATATTTTGGCCAACGTGTCGTAAAAGAGCCTTACCAATACTATAGTGAGAAAGATAATTAGTTGGAGATGTCAGTTGTTGAGAAAAGAATTTAGTCCACTGTGTACTTGTAAACATGGTGCATAAAGGGAATGGGTGTCGTGTAGGTCGTTTTTGGGTAGACATCCAAGAACTATCGTCAGTAGTTGCTCTGGAACATTTAGGAGTAGTACCGTTGGCAGTCTGACCTGAGGGAGGTAGGTGATGCAAAAAACATTGCACCGTATTCGGGGAAGCTAGACATATTGTTAAAGGAATGCAAGAGGCAGAGGCATTAACAGAAATGGGTGGTGCCTCAGCACCTGGAGCAAGCGATGAAGCATCACCAGTAGAAGGTACAAGGGTATGAGAAGAGTCTAGAGAATGGTCCAATAATGAAGCCAGGTCAGAACAGAAAGGAGCCTGGGAGGAAGAGGGTTATCACAGACTGAAGACTATGATGGTGGTGCTTCTTTTTTGTTATTTTAAAGAAAAAAATGAAAGAAAGAAAGAAAAAAAAAAGAGGGACAGTCACTAGAAGACATGGAAGGGCTGTAAGTTCTTCCCCTCATCTGAGAGGGCCTTGAGCCCACAAGCAGTGTAGATGCAGTGTGGAACCCTTCACGCCAGTAAACCAGTGCTCTGGGATAGCAACCTCACATCTACTGAGCCACCTTGGTGGACAAAAGAAAGAGCGGTCAGAAACCCGCCACAAAGCTTACCTCCTTCGGCTGTCACCTCCCAGAACTGACAGGCAGGCTCTGGAGATACACCTGTCATCTGCAGGACACCCCACCCACTTCTTGGAGATTCGGGAAGGGAGCAGGGCACCTCTAGACAATTCAAATTCCATGGCAAACTATGCCACCCCCGAAGTACCCCATGGAGTGGGATGAACTCCAGCACACTTCCCCCTACCTAGAAACCGTAATGCCAGAGGGGAGGACCCCAGAGACTACAAACGAGATGGGGAAAGGGGAGGGTTGGGAGGAAGGAGGAAAGAGGGAAAGAAGGGGGATGGGATAGGAAAGGGAGGATTAGGGGGTACTTAAGTTTGGTCTGAGAAGGAGACCAAAGAGTTTAATTCCTTAGACCAAGAGCCTCTTCGCCACATCAAGGAGCATCCCTTGAAGAGGGCTTTTCACTGCAGCCGCCTCAGACTTTACTCTGTTTACTATTACTTTTTGTGTTCTGTTTGTTAGGATGTTATAGATCCATCTACCAACTTTTCCTGTTATTCCTTTGTCACACATTTTATGTGCTATTATACTATGGTCGCATTTATCTAAGGTTTTAGCAAAGTCTCTGTATACTACATCTGCATTTTGTTTATCCTCTAAAGCATCCAGGACCTTGTCATAGTGGTCTAGTAGCTGGGACAGGCAGGAGCAACCTGCTCTAAACCCATGTTGCCCTGGGTTGTGTAACTGATGGATATCTAAGTGGTTGGCAATCTTGCTTCTTAGAACCCTTAGCACTAGTTTCGGGATGCTAGTGCTATCGGTCTGCAGTTCTTTGCAATTGTTTTACTGTCACCTTTGTGGAGTGGGGCTGTCTGTTGTTTTAGTGACTGAGGGATGACTCTTGCATCCATACTCCCTCTCTATAGAATGCTGAAGGCATATGACAGGGGCTTCTTGCAGTTCTTGATGAACACAGAGTTCCACGAGTCCGGGCCTGAGACAGAGTGCATGAGCATGTCATTTATTGTCTTTTTGAAGCCTTGTGGTGTTAGGATAATATCAAAGATTTTTTTTATTATTTATTAACACACTGGCCGATTCCCACCAAGGCAGGGTGGCCCAAAAAAGAAAAACTTTAACCATCATTCACTCCATCACTGTCTTGCCAGAAGGGTGTTTTACACTACAGTTTTTAAACTGCAACATTAACACCCCTCCTTCAGAGTGCAGGCACTTTACTTCCCATCTCCAGGACTCAAGTCCGGCCTGCCAGTTTCCCTGAATCCCTTCATAAATGTTACTTTGCTCACACTCCAACAGCATGTCAAGTATTAAAAACCATTTGTCTCCATTCACTCCTATCAAACACGCTCACGCATGCCCGCTGGAAGTCCAAGCCCCTTGCACACAAAACCTCCTTTACCCCCTCCCTCCAACCTTTCCTAGGCCGACCCCTACCCCGCCTTCCATCCGCTACAGACTGATACACTCTTGAAGTCATTCTGTTTCGCTCCATTCTCTCTACATGTCCGAACCACCTCAACAACCCTTCCTCAGCCCTCTAGACAACAGTTTTGGCAATCCCGCACCTCCTCCTAACTTCCAAACTACGAATTCTCTGCATTATATTCTCACCACACATTGCCCTCAGACATGACATCTCCACTGCCTCCAGCCTTCTCCTCGCTGCAACATTCATCACTCATGCTTCACACCCATATAAGAGCGTTGGTAAAACTATACTCTCATACATTCCCCTCTTTGCCTCCAAGGACAAAGTTCTTTGTCTCCACAGACTCCTAAGTACACCACTCACCCTTTTCCCCTCATCAATTCTATGATTCACCTCATCTTTCATAGACCCATCCACTGACACGTCCACTCCCAAATATCTGAATACATTCACCTCCTCCATACTCTCTCCCTCCAATCTGATATCCAATCTTTCATCACCTAATATTTTTATCCTCATAACCTACTCTTTCCTGTATTCACTTTTAATTTTCTTCTTTTACATACCCTACCAAATTCATCCACCAACCTCTGCAACTTCTCTTCAGAATCTCCCAAGAGCGCAGTGTCATCAGCAAAGAGCAACTGTGACAACTCCCACTTTATGTGTGATTCTTTATCTTTTAACTCCACGCCTCTTGCCAAGACCCTCGCATTTACTTCTCTTACAACCCCATCTATAAATATATTAAACAACCACGGTGACATCACGCATCCTTGTCTAAGGCCTACTTTTACTGGGAAATAATCTCCCTCTTTCCTACATACTCTAACTTGAGCCTCACTATCCTCATAAAAACTCTTCACTGCTTTCAGTAACCTACCTCCTATACCATACACCTGCAATATCTGCCACATTGCCTCCCTATCCACCCTGTCATACGCCTTTTCCAAATCCATAAATGCCACAAAAACCTCTTTAGCCTTATCTAAATACTGTTCACTTATATGTTTCACTGTAAACACACCCCCTACCTTTCCTAAAGCCTCCTTGTTCATCTGCTATCCTATTCTCCGTCTTACTCTTAAATCTCTCAATAATAACTCTACCATACACTTTACCAGGTATACTCAACAGACTTATCCCCCTATAATTTCTGCACTCTCTTTTGTCCCCTTTGCCTTTATGCAAAGAACTATGCATGCTCTCTCCCAACCCCTAGGTACCTTACCCTCTTCCATACATTTATTAAATAATAGCACCAACCACTCCAAAACTATATCCCAACCTGCTTTTAACATTTCTATCTTTATCCCATCAATCCCAGCTGCTTTACCCCCTTTCATTTTACCTACTGCCTCACGAACTTCCCCCACACTCACAACTGGCTCTTCCTCACTCCTACAAGATGTTATTACTCCTTGCCCTATACACAAAATCACAGCTTCCCTACCTTCATCAACATTAAACAATTCCTCAAAATATTCCCTCCATCTTCCCAATACCACTAACTCTCCATTTAATAACTCTCTTCTCCTGTTTTTAACTGACAAATCCATTTGTTCTCTAGGCTTCCTTAACTTGTTAATCTCACTCCAAAACTTTTTCTTATTTTCAACAAAATTTGTTGATAACATCTCACCCACTCTCTCATTTGCTCTCTTTTTACATTGCTTCACCACTCTCTTAACCTCTCTCTTTTTCTCCATATACTCTTCCCTCCTTGCATCACTTCTACTTTGTAAAAACTTCTCGTATACTAACATTTACTCCCTTACTACTCTCTTTACATCATTTTGAAATTGCCAAATTTTGAGTCCGGTTAATGGCTCACTGAGCCGTACTGGGACTTGAAGTATCTCACTCATTTCTTTGCTGTCATCTGTGTAGGTCCTATCTCATCTAAGCAGTGGTCCAATACTGGATGTTGTTTTTGTCTTAGATTTGGTATAAGAGAAGAAGTATATTGGGTTTCTTTCAGTTTCATTTATGGCTTTGAGTTCTTCCTGAGATTCTTGTCTCTTGTAAGATTCCTTAAGCTTAAGTTTGATATTTGCCCTTTCTCTGTCCAGTGCCTTCCTTCGTATTTCAGATATACTGGCCCCTCTCAGCAGCTCTATGATTCTTCGTCTTTGCCTGTATAGGGAGCATCTCTTTCTACTGATGAAAAGTATACAAAATTGTATGTATACATATTTTTAAACAATTATGCAATGTGGGTTTGAATCAAGAGCCTTTCTCCTTTACACTCCTTCCTTCCCAAATCAAGGATCACAGCAACTTGCCTGAGTCCATATCTTCATAGAGCCAACTTGCAACTTTAAGCATCATTTCAGTATTCAGTGACCCAAAATTAGTAAAGAATGACTACTTTTATTTCCAAATGATATTACTGTAGACCAGTAACATCATAGAAATCTTCACTGCACGTTGTAAACTACAATGTTTGCATAGTTTAAATTTATATTGGATATGATGAATTCCTGGTAGAAATGGGTCATCACATCAAGATGAATTCACATATAATCAAATCTACTGAACCCCAGTAAAGTGATTAAAATACAAGAGCAACACACACTATGACTACATTTATTAATTAGTACTGTATTATATTCAAATAAAGCACTAGAACCATAATTACAAGAGAATCATAGCTTTTCTAATTTCAAGTCAGTGTTAAAATGTATTCAGGATAGTACTCCTGTTTGTCATACTTTACAATAATTGTTGGATTAACAACATTATTAACTGTGGAATCAAAGGGACGATTAGTGGCTGGGTTGGTAGGTGGTCGCACCATAGACGAGTTTCCACAGACAATTGATCCCACTGCAGTGCGTGCAATGAACATGTATTTCATACCTGAATCATCTGGACGACAGTAGCGGTATGAGTAAGCTGCATCTGAAGAAAAGTAAGTACCCTGCCCAAATGATTGACCGGAGCTGGACCCATGAAGTCGCCAGTCAAAATTCTCAGCACAGATGCTAGGCACAACTTTATGTCCAGTACCATGAAAAAGTTGTCGGATGTTGACTTTTGATTCAACCCCATAAACTGCTATCAGTTCTTTGATTTTGTTCTGTAATGCTTGCCAGAGGAATGGATTCTGAATTCGTTGCACTTTCATTACACTGGAGCTCTGCACTTTCCTTGCCAGAAGACCTACCACAGCAAGGTACTCAGAAGACGAAGGAGCCAGGGTAACTAAACGCACACGTTCCTCTGGCTGCATCACTTCCCAGTATGAGGGCAGATCAACCAAAGTCTTTCGGCCCTCACCCTTTTCAGCCTTTTCAACTGGAAGGTGGGGTTCAGGTCTTCGTCTTACTGCTCGTCTGACATTAGTGTTCAGATTGGTTTGTGTCATGGTGTTAAAATCAAGACAGTAGATGAACTTTGAATTCCTGAAGGGAAGATTGCCTGTAGTATTCTGCTTAAAATGCTTCTCAATGTCATCTGTTGTTAAGCTACTAATTAAATGCTTTTTTCCTTCGGTGTCAACATTGCCATACTTAACCCATTTATTATTTGCATCTAAAAAATACCAGATAAAATTTGCAGGTTTTATTACATGCCCAGAGACTGCTTCTGTACACAGCCTACGGATGGGTAAAGTCCTGGTTTTTGAAGAATTGGTCAAATTCATTGCTTTGAAGTCTGCATGCCATACATCACGGCCCATCAAGATTAGTAGACCTCTAACGGAGATGTTAAGGGTGGCTGGATCAAGGCGAACAAGGTCAATACCATCATGTGAAGGGTTGCAATAGGACTGTTCTAGGCAAGTCACCTGGTCTTGACGCAGGTTCAGCCACCGATTTCCTTGGTCATTAACCTGCCAGTGGAAGTGCTGTGTTGAGTGAAGGCGTTGGCATCCACTTTCCTCGTACTTGCACATCTCTTCTACCGAGTAGTAACAAATTTCTGGTACTGAAACGTCACCCTGAAGGTAATGTGACCACAATGTCCTAGGGTTTTCCTGCTTCAAAGGAATTTCAGCAAGATCAGCTGGATTAGCTTGTCTAGATGATTCAGATACTTTCTGGCTTGGAGTGTCTGTATTAGATTTTTGTGACTTTCTTTTGTTTCCAGATTTTTCTAAATCATTATCATTAGATAATATAGTGTTACTCTTACTATCATTATCAGAATCACTTTCATCTTCAGTTTTGGATGAAGACTCACTCTCACTGCAAGAACTTTTCTTTCTTCTGTGAACTTCTCTTTTAGATGCATCAATTGCATTTTTTCTGGATTTCTTCTGACTTTTTCCTGTGTATTTTTTAGTCTTTGTAGGGACTTTCTTTGTAAACTTCTCTGGCATCTGACTTTGACTAAGGTTAGGGTTATGAGTAATAAGAGCCACCAAAATGTCCCGAGGAGACTCATTAGTAGGAAGACCATAAGTTTTCAGCAGTTGGTAGCAGTCATGATTCAGTAGATTATGGTTCAGTTGGCAATCTCTATAAGAACACCTTGTGAGTCCCACCACAAAGCTCAAACACATATGGAGAGCCCCACAGTTAGACTGATTACAGCCTCCTTCATTATATCTGTGGCAAATTTCTAACTGACCAATGTCACCCGTGTTGGTCATTGATTGAATTAAACGGTGGAGAGTTCGGAAAGGAAGGCGATCTAGAAAGAATGATTGCAAAACAGAAGTGTTATGATCTGTCATCCATTTGTGACCTAGTACACAATTCTTTTCATAACACCAATTTAAAACATAGCTTGAGCAAATATGCAAATCATCACAAGATGAATGCTTCTGGCATCCCTGTGTTCCACAATGTGCTGTACAGATCTTAACTTGAGGCTTCAGCTCTGCAATCTCACCATTCAAATTAAATATTTTTGGCCATGCTGAAACAATTTCTCGCACACTAGATGGCTGAAGGTGCCTATCTTCCATAAGTTTTATTAAGCTGGCAGAGAAAGTGCGGAAATTAGCTAAACATTCCACCAGGGTCTGAGGAGTGACTTGGATGGTTTTGCATGAGTTATAGGATAGAGGATCTTCATATTCCATTTGATGTTGCGAAACTTCTCTTGAACCTTGCCAGTGACGTCTGTGCAGCTCATCATTATTCTGTCCCTGCCTGCTGTTACCATATTCTTGGATGTTCGAACCTTTTTGCTGGAAAACATTATATATTAAGTACTAATTTAATTAATTTACCCTTTATCAAAGGTTCAATCAGTAAATCATTGATATAATGGTACATTACATCAGGTTAGCTCATTTCAGTGAAATAAAGCTACAGTATTAATTCTTTCAGGGTAAAACCAGTTCCTGTCTGGCACAAGTGATTCATGATGTCAACCTTCAGATTTATTAATAATGCTTTGTATAGGCAGTATATTCAGCATTTACAATTTCACATAAATGTCACATGCAGAAGACACTATATACTTTTTTTTCACATTGACATCAAGACATTCTGAAAGTCTTTGGATGTAAGCAATAAGAAATAGAGAATAACATGATTCCCAGTGTGACTCACCTGAGGATTCCTGGAACCTTGGTACATTCCCCGGCTCCTGCCTCTGGAGCAACCCCATCTTCCTGGGTTACTGTCTGATGTAGCTCTATGCACTGTTAGAAAAAGAAACTGGGCCTATTATAAATTTGTGCACCCTTTTAGTCATATATGGTAGCACATTCAGTTACTGGACAAATCCAGATATGCTTATCCTAATCAACTAACATAAATACTGTATTAATCATAGTGCTTTTCAGGTGGGTATTCTAGTGGAAAAAATCATTGCTTTCATTAAGATCTGAAACTCAATGAGCTAATGACATTTAAGCAAAATTTTAAGTCAAAATTTAAAGTTGGCCTTAACCTTAAGCTATGGTAAAGTTCCTTTATGTTTCCCAATATTTAACTCGTAAACGGTCCAAACGTATATATACGTTCACTACCCCAGTGCCCCGAATATTTTGAAAAATAAAAAAATAGCTTTTTTTTTTATTGAAAAAAGAGCACATTTTTCTAAGTGTCATAGGATAAAAAAAAAATTTTTAGGGTCAGTATTCACCGAGATATGAGGCCCAGAAGTTGGCACTGGAAGCTCACTTGACAGCAACAGGGAGTCCTGCCACTTGCAGAAGTGTTGCCAATATACCTTTTTTTATATTTTTCATATTATTTTATATAATTTTTATGTTCTGATAATTACAATTTATAGTAGTTCTTGTCATTTCATAACCAATCTTTGTTCTGACACTAGTATTAGGTACTGAAATTGTACTCAAATTGTGACAAACGCACTGACAGGTGGACATTTGCACCTGCCTTGGTCATTTGCTATTGTCTTGGAATATATACGAAGTATTTATAGGTCCCAGCAATGTTTTGGATATTTGGAAGTAAAAATAATAATGAGGAGGAGGAGAAGAAGGAGAAGAATAGTAATACATAATAATAAAATAATAAGTTCCCTTGAAGCATGAAAAAACAAAGTCCACCCCTGACAGTGACATGATAAGATGAGATAACATTTGATAAGAGCTGACGTTTGATGAGCATTCATGAGGGTGCAGTGATAAGGCTTGATAAGAAAAGATTAGGGCCTGCTTTGTTTTTGCTGGTACACAAACATGTCTGTCTATTTGTCTGTCAAGCTCCCTGTCTATCTGTCTATCCGTCTAGCTCTCTGTCTCAGAGAGACCCACAAGACTGCGTCGTCATCACGTTTACTCACATCTTCAAGCAAAGTATAGCACTTTGTCTGGATTTTTTGGGTTATCCTAGGTAATTTACACTAAGTATACTTGTATTTGTGTACCTGTGAGACAGATAGACAGGCAGATAGAAAGAGATAGACAGAGATAGGCAAAGATAGACAGAGACAGACATAGACATAGATACAGACAGACAAACGGAGATAGAGCCAGCAGCTGGCCAGCCACACAGCTGGCTGCCACACAGCTGGCCAGCCAGCTAGCGAGCCAGCTAGCCAGCCAGAATTGTTTCTCTTTACTTAGGGAATAGGTTATAAGACATTCTGAAAGGGTGTTGCACAGATATTGCACATGGGGTATTATCAAGTTTTTTTTTAATATTTCCTCGACCACTTGTGGCCACATCCACCTCATAGCCACTAAACTCAGGGTCAAAATTACTTTCCTCTTAAGATGGGAGTGTTAATACTACATGACATCAGTGAATCCCAGGTGTTTGCTGCGCTGTTTGTTGTAGCTGGCGCTCATTTGAACTGGTGCTCCCACAAGGTACTAAGTGGTCCCAGATTTTTTTAATACTGCGCACACTGAGTGTTAGGACCCATTGCATGCTGATAAGGCATTTCAGGCCAATCGTGCCAAATTTGAAGGCAGGAAAAATAAAACGTATATACACCTACCATCCGACTTACGGCCTGCTTGACTTACGACCACTTGACTTACGACCGTGTTTTTTATGCCAAATTTCTGGGAAATAAACAACTATTTGTGTTGTACACAGTGTTTATCCTAAACCTTACAGTATAAAATACAGTACTAACAACATAAAAAGTAAAGTAAAACATGAAATACCAAAATAAAACAAAATAAAGTCATTACAAAAATGTTTTGTTGATATTCAGTAGTAAAGTTCGACTTACGACCATTTCGACTTACGACCGGTTTCTCGGAACCGAACTCGGTCGTAAGTCGGATGGTACGTGTATACGTCTGGGGCACTAGCGGTAAAAACGTATATATACGTTTGGACCATTCAAGGGGTAAATGTTCTTAGACAGGCAATATAGAAAAATAAATTAAAAATAAGAGATAGAGGTAAGTTATTCTAAAAAAAATAGAATAAAAAATCTAACTAGTTAAATTCTTCATTCCTATTAGGTATCATGTAGCTTTATGAGTTGTATACTGTAGGGCTCTATACCAAAAAACTTATTATCTTATTTAAGAAATTCAAAAGGAAAATTTTAATTTAAATACAGCAGGACCCCCGCATCCACTGATTCAGTATCTGCAGTTTCAGTTATCCATGGTTTACTGTGGCCCAAAAATCTCTCTTAATTTTGCACAATGGCCCCAGAGTGCAAAATTAGAAAAAAACTGTCAGTTCTTCAAAGCCTAAGAGAAGTAGTGAAGTGCTTCCCATCCCATGTCCTTTCGCATGCTATTTCATTACTTTTTAACAAGTCACTAGAAACTAGCACCTTCCCGAAACTACTCAAGACGGCAAGGGTTACACCAATACATAAAGGTGGTGACCCTACAGATTTAAACAACTATAGGCCATTATCAAACTTACCATTGCTATCCAGAATCTTTGAGAAACTCGTGCACAGGAGACTACAGTGGACCCCCGGTTAACGATATTTTTTCACTCCAGAAGTATGTTCAGGTGCCAGTACTGACCGAATTTGTTCCCATAAGGAATATTGTGAAGTAGATTAGTCCATTTCAGACCCCCAAACATACACGTACAAACGCACTTACATAAATACACTTACATAATTGGTCTCATTCGGAGGTGATCATTATGCGGGGGTCCACTGTATATTCATTTATAATGGCACAAAATACACTCAACCCCTGCCAGTTTGGATTCAGGAAAAAATAAAAGCACTAATGATGCAATTATAAAAATGCTAGATCTGCTTTACAAAGCATTGGAAAATAAGGAATATCCACTAGGAATTTTTATTGACCTAAGAAAAGCTTTTGACACAGTAGACCACGGCATCCTACTCCACAAACTTGACCATTATCGTATAAGAGGCCATGCGCTTGCATGTTTCAAATCTTACCTTACTAATAGGTATCAGTATGTCACCATTAAAGACACAGCATCAACAACACGGCCACTTGATACTGGAGTTCTGCAGGGAAGTGTCCTTGGTCCCCTGCTCTTCCTCATATACATCAATGATCTTCCAAACGTATCCCAACACCTGAACCCCATTCTCTTTGCTGACGACACGCCTTGTGTCATTTCTCACCCTAATCTTGCCACCCTCAACACCATTGTTAACAAGGAGCTGATCAAAATATCGACTTGGATGACAGCCAATAAACTTACGCTTAACACTGACAAAACCTACTATATTATGTTTGGTAGCAGAGCAGGAGTTGCGCAAATTAACATTAAGATCGACAACACTCTAATTGCCAGACATAATGAGGGCAAATTCCTAGGCCTATACCTCGACAACAACCTGAATTTCAGCACCCATATCCAACACATAACCAAAAAAGTATCCAAAACGGTTGGGATCCTCTCCAAGATACGCTACTACGTGCTGCAAAATGCCCTTCTCACATTATACCACTCACTTATTTATCCATACCTCACCTATGCTATTTGTGCTTGGGGATCAACTGCAGCAATACACCTAAAGCCAATAATAACCCAACAAAAAGCCACAGTAAGAATAATCACTGAATCCCATCCCTGGCAACACACCCCCCACTCTTCATAGATCTAAACTTACTCCCTGTTCAGTACATCCACACTTACTACTGTGCAATCTACATCTACAGGACCTTAAATTCCAATATTAACCTTGACCTAAAACACTTTCTTGATAGTTGTGACAGAATTCACAGGCATAACACCAGACACAAACATCTCTATGACATTCCCCATGTCCGACTAAACCTTTACAAAAATTCAATGTATGTCAAAGGCCCTAAAATCTGGAACACCGTACCTGAAAACCCTAGAACTGCAGACACATTCATCACCTTCAAAACTACCATTAAAAAACATCTTATCTCCCTGATACACCCCGTCAGCTATTTACACGAATACCACCTGGTGGTTCACACTTACTCACCCATTTGAAAATAAACAGAAATATCAATCTCAGTCTTAAAATAATGAATCTTAACTAGTCATAAGTTGGCCTGTGATACTCCAATACTGAAACTATGTATTGTGCCAAAACAAAAGCATTCACATTGCTAAACTCACACACTAGTATTTAGTCACTTAGCCATAATACCAACTTACCTCATAATTTGTAATATTTTAAAATTAAGAATTATTCTAAGTCTGCCCGAAATGCCTAGCCATGCTAGGTGTTCTAGTGGCACCCTCTGTAATTAGTATTTTACTACATGTAAACCACACAATAACCAAATTCTGTAAACTCAGCATTGTAATCCTTATAGAGAATAAAATTTGAATTTGAATTGAGAAAGTGATACTAGGGAGAGAGAGCACAACTTTGTAGTACCCAAAGTAAGTGGGCAGGCTTCAAACACCTTTTATTGTACATCAATAAAGCCAGTCATAGCATGAACCAGTTCAAGATGAGAGCCAAAAGGTGCCTAATGAATGTAGAGACAGAAAGGGAGGAGAATGATTTTTTATTTTTTTAGCTAACACACATGTAAATATAATAACTCATTTTACCTTACTCTTAGTATATCTCCTTTATAGTAAAATAATTAGGTATTAACCCTTAAACTCTAAACGCAGATATACATTTGCTCACCTAGCACTCCGAACGTAGCTCAACATTTTGTTTTTCACTCCTTCAAAATTGGGGTGATAGGCCTGAGTTGCCTAGACACGAGAGAATGGGTCTTAACACTCGGTGTGCGCAGTATTGAAAAATATCTGGGACCACTTAGTACCTTGTGGGAGAACCAGTTCAACTGAGCTCCAGCTAGAGCAAATAGCATGGCAGACACCAGGGATTCACTGATGTCATGTCATCGTAACACTCCCCTTTTAAGAGGAAAGTAAAAATAAGTTAGATAAATATATGAGTGGGTGTGGGTGGTGTGAGTTGGACCTGACTAGCTTGTGCTACTAGGTCTGATGCCATGCTCCTTCCTTCAGTGGATGTGACCTGACTAGGTGGGTAATTGGTCTAAGCCGGGGGGTGACATGGACCTGCCTTGCATGGGCCAGTAGGCCTGCTGCAGTGTTCCTTCTTTCTTATGTTCTTATGTATTAGGCTGGCTGGCTGGCTTTGGCTCTCTCTCTCACATGTGCACATAAATACAGTTGTTATACAGTGTAAATTACCTAGGATAACCCAAAAATTCCAGGCAAAGTGCTATACTGTGCTTGTAGATATATGACATAAATAATCATGACGCAATATGCATTTTCACTTGCTCAGGAATCAGGGAGCGGCTTGTAAACCAGCAGTTTTACGAGCCACTCCCTGAGAGAGAAAGAAGCAGACAGAAAGACAGACACACACAGGCAGACAGATAAGCAGAGCTAGACAGACAGATAAGCAAAGCTAAACAGACAGATAAACAGACATGTTTGTGTGTAACATTGAAAACAAATAAAGCGAGGGTTCTCTGGAGCAGTGCGCATTTATCAAGTGTCACTGGGCTGTCATCAGTTTACTGACACTTGTCATAACACCATTCTTCAAGAAGTTTCATATATAATCCAGGCACACACAGGGAGACAAAGACAAACAAGCAGAGCTAGACAGACACAGATAGACAGATATGTTTGTGTGTAACAGTGAAAACAAATAAAGTGAGGGTTCCCTGAGTGCACATTCATCAAGTGTCACTGGCTATCAGCAGTTTATTGACACTTGTCATAACATCATGCTTTGAGGTATATTCCAGCGTGTCTAAAACATTGCTGGGACCTATAAATACTTTGTATAGTAGGGCCCCTCTTATACGGCAAGTTAGGTTCCAGGCTACTGCCGGAAAGCAGACATAGCCGGAAAGTAGAACGCCATTTTTTTCCACTTATACATGCATGTAAATGCCAGGTAACAAGTTTACACTAACATATATTAAATTAGCAACAGAACTAGGCATTAAAAACAATAAAAAGCAAAATACACACAGTACACCCATTACTTACCTTAAAATATTTGTAGTCTTAATGTAGGGTGAGAGGTGGGTTTTATTTGTAGGAAGCCAGGTTTGGGAGGTATGGTAGCCAGCCAGGGAAGCCCACCCCACCCACACATAATGTAAACAAACCAGACGAATGCGTCTGGTTTCCGTCACTTTACATTGTGTACAAGTTGTCTCCACTTTGATACAGTAGAATAAATAGAGAGAAACACTCCCATTCTCATGTAACGCCATTATAAGAAGAAATGACGCCCTGAGTGAAGGCATACTTAGGTACAGGTACACATACGTATAATTATCGGTTATAATAGTAATGTAGGTATGTAGTCCGCCTGGGCTACATACCTATAGCTACACAATATTTAACCCTTTCAGGGTCAGCAGGCCCTCTCCTAAACTTGATCTCTGGGTCAGAAATTTTTGGAAAAAAAAAAAAATTATGAAATAATAGAGAATCTTTTCCCAACCACAATGACACCAAAAGTATGAAATTTGATGGAAAACTTACGGAATTATGCTCTCGCAAAGTTAACGGTCTCGATGATGTTTACGCATCAGCGATTTCACCTTCTTTGAGCCCTATTGTCGGCCAATTTCAATGTACCAGTCGACAAAAATCATAACTATTTCGCTATAACTCCATTTTTTCTATCGAATGAGTACAAGAAACCACCCATTTACCGATTTCAACTATCCAATAAAGTAGTCCGAAATTAGCAATTTGCCAATTTCACACAAATTTCAAAGGATGCCAGTTTCCAAATAGGGTCCAGAATAAACAAGACAGACATTCCTGGCACTAAAATAACATTTCCTCTTTTCATTAGTCACGTCCCCAGGCCTGTGTTACATTTCTTTTGCTTTCCACTTTGAATTTTTATTCTCACAAAAAATAATAGATTTACTGTTATGCAGACTACTGAATTAGTGTAGAAATGGTGTAGAAATGGTATAAATAATATCAACGCACTTGTGAAAGAATATTAGACTCACCAGTTGATGTGTATTGGGCACATGGCTTGATTTATTTACTTTTGAACTTTGGCAAAAATCGAACATTTCTGCTACTTTGAGCTCAATTTCAAGGTACTTTTCATTGTGAAACCAATAAAAATCATCTCAATTTCTGTAATATGTCTTCCATTCTATAAAATGAGACCAGGAAAACTAGAATACAACCATAAATAGCATACAAAAATATAATGCAAAGTCGCCGTTTTAAACCAAAAACATGATCGGAATTTTTTTTTTTATCATGCACTGTGTGCTGCAGGATTTTTTTTATACTGCACACACTGACCACATAGACCCATTCTTTCGTATGTAGGCCTACCAGCTTTCTCTCGCTAGATTTGAAGGCGCTAGAATTTATGCGTACTAGTACGGCACCAACCCTGGCATGCAAGCCATACTAATACAGCAACCCTAAAAGGGTTAATGTGGCCCAGAGCCATATTATTACCATCGACATGCCACGTTCACTGAGTTTAATCATTTCTAACAACTACCTTTAGATGCCATCATAAACAAAGGGAGAAGTAATGAGTAATGTTTTCCCTCTACCCGGCTACCACACCTCCATAGCATATAAACAGCATGTTTATATGCTATGTAACATGTTTCTTATATAATTTTGAAGAAAATATCATAAATGGATTAATGAAAATGTCTATATTGACACAAAATTAGACATTTAATGTGCCCAAGAGTGATTATTATTACATAATAGAGAGATGTGCTCATGGAGAATGTAAACAAATCGGGTGGTGTGTGCCGTATTTGAAAGACCACTTGCCATATAGAAAGTTTTGGTCATAATTTGAGATCACCGTATTAGTGGAACGCCCTAAGGTGAAACGCCGAAAAGTGAGACCCTACTGTATATATTTCTAGGCAATAGTTAATGACCTAGGGAGGTGAAAATGTTCACCTGTTGGTGTGACTGCGACTATTTGAGTACTATTTCAGTACCTAACATTAGAGTTAGAACAAAGATTGGCTATGAAAAAACAAGAACTATTATAAATTGTAATTATCAGTACATAAAAAATGTATAAATTAAAATAAAATGAGAAAAAAAGGTATATTGGCAACACTTCTGCAAGTGGCAGAGCCAATGTTGCCATCAGGTGAGCATCCAGCGCCAACTTCATGGGCTTACATCTCGGCAAGTACTGACCCTACTATTTTTTTTTTATCCTTTAACGTAGAAAAATGTGCTCTTCATTAAAAAAAAAATTTTCTTTTTTAACCCTTAAACTGTCCAAACGTAGATCTACGTTTTTTCAACATTTGAAAGTATGTAAAAAACACAGATCATCATCATGTTTTTTTTTTTACATTTGAAAACATGTAAAAAAACTTTGATCTACGTTTTTCTTTTTGTTATTGAAAATATGTAAAAAAAACATAGATCTACTTTTGGAGCACTACGCATGTGAACATAGATCTGTTTGGACAGTTTAAGGGTTAAATATTTTGAGCGCTACTTGAGTGAATGTAGATCTACATTTGGACAGTTTAAGGGTTAGAAGGACCCAAATGGAAATGAGTCACTTTAACTTTTTTTGGTTATCCTAGGTTCTCTACACATATGCTGCTATGTATGATAATCTATGTAACTGTATTTGTGTAAGCTCTCAGAATTATTCTTGGCTGTTCCAAATCTACAAAGGTTCCTAATATGAGGAAGGAGCTTGGTATTTCTAGTATCAGTGACAGGATTACTGAGGTTAACACTGTATTCGGTATTAGAATGTTAAGAAACAAGCCAGATACTGTCACTAAGAATGTTACTACATATATATTAAGTTTTATAACCTGCATGAACTGTATCACTGTAGACAACAAGAGCATATCACCCCTCAACGGGAGATGTGTTCATTTAATATCACATACATACCTGCAAGCCCCTCCCAAGAAGCTCATTGCAAGTAATCCCTTCCTTAAATCACTTGTTAAAGCAACTGCTCAAGGAGAAATTTCTAGCCTAGCTGGAAGTAATAAATTTTCACAAGTTAGATACACTGATGGATCTAAACAGGAGTCTTCTGGCAGGGCTGCATCTGCTCTTGTTGCCACCTCCCTAGTTAAGAATGATAATAAATTTGTTGAACTAGGCATAAGAATTAACAACTGGATGTCTACACTGCAAACTGAATTGTTTGCAATCCTAATGACGCTAAAGCTAACTTAGGACACTGAGCTCGATTCATCATTACTGATTCTATGTCATCAACGAAGGCTCTTGGCTCATATAATGACTCCAACAACATGCTCACTGGAGAAGCCAGGTATAGATATGTACTCAAAAATCTGGGACAAAGGTATCAATGTGCAATTGCTATGGATCCCATCACACACTGGATTACTCCTTCATGGTAAAGTTGATATGTTAGCCAAGAAGAGTACCCTGAATGAGAATGTAGAATATAACTTTGGTATACAGTGGACCCCCGGATTAAGTTGTCATCAGAATAAGTAATATTCGGAGTAAGTAACCTTTCTTCTTCATAACATTGGCTCGGTGAACATCACTGAACTCAGTATAAGTCATTTGTCCGGAACGTGTCCACACGGCCTGAGCGGCTCTGACACTCCATGTACAGCCAGTTTGCCATTGGTTACCAGTTAGTGAGGACGATCGCACGCATTCATACAATACATTTTGTATTCCATTCTTTTTAGTGCTTGTAACTGCTAAATAATCCACCATGGGCCCAAAGAAAGCTTCTAGTGCCAGCCAGCCCTTTGGTAAAGGGCTGGCTGGGTAGAATGTGCCTTTTTCAGTGATTCTGCAATATGTACGATACTAAAGCAGCAGGAGTCGATAAAGGCTATAGCACCAGCCAGCGATAAAGTGTAGCATTAACAGTGTAGCAAGTAAGTTAAGCGAGTAATTGATAGAAAAAGGACAGCATGAAACTGACTCCTCCATTGTTGTTGGAGGTATATAGAACACTACTAACATCACCGTCACCGTCTCTGCTGCCACCTTCACCACCACTATGTAAGGCTTATCTTTCAGTGGCCCTTATGCACCCAACAACAAACAACACACCACTCGTGACATTCTTAATGCAATATTTTATTCATTCTAGAGTACAGTGGACCCCCGGTTAACGATTTTAATCCGTGCAAGAGGGGTAATTGTTATGCGAAATAATCGTTATGTGAATTAATTTTCCCCATAAGAAATAATGGAAATAAAATTAATCCGTGCAAGACACCCAAAAGTATGAAAAAAAAAATTTTTTTACCACATGAAATATTAATTTTAATACACACAAACTGAAAAAGGCATGCACACTTACATGACACTTACTTTTATTGAAGATCTGGTGATGATTGATGGGATGGGAGGAGGGGAGAGCATTATCTTCTTACTGTTTAGAAGGGGAATCCCCTTCCATTAGGACTTGAGGTAGTAAGTCCTTTTCTGGGGTTACTTCCCTTCTTTTTTTAATGCCACTAGGGCCAGCTTCAGAGTCACTGGACTTCTTTCGCACAAGATATCTGTCCATAGTGGCCTGTACCTCTCGTTCCTTTATCACTTGCCTAAAGTGTTTCACAACATTGTCAGTGTAATAATCACCAGCACGGCTTGCAATAGCTGTGTGAGGGTGATTTTCATCCATGAAGGTTTGCACTTCAAGCCACTTTGCACAGATTTCCTTTATCTTTGTAGTAGGCAACTTCTTCAATTTCTATCTCCCCTCCTCTGAACCATTTTCCCCCAGGTCTGGCCTCTTGCTCTTGAAGTTGATCTATCAGCTCATCAGTGGTTAGTTCTTCATTGTCCTCCTCCACCAACTCTTCCACATCCTCCCCACTAACCTCCAACCCCAAGGACTTTCCCAATGCCACAATGGATTCCTCAACTGGCATAATCCTCTCAGGGTTAGCCTCAAACCTTCAAAATCCCTTTTGTCTACACATTCTGGCCACAGTTTCTTCCAAGCAGAGTTCAAGGTCCTCTTAGTCACTTCCTCCCAAGCCTTACCTATAAGGTTTACACAATTGAGGATATTAAAGTGATCTCTCCAAAACTCTCTTAGAGTCAGTTGAGTTTCTGAGGTCATTACAAAGCACCTTTCAACAGAGCTTTTGTGTACAGTTTCTTGAAGTTGGAAATAACCTGCTGGTCCATGGGCTGCAGGAGAGGAGTGGTATTAGGAGGCAAAAACTTCACCTTAATGAAGCTCATGTCCCCATAAAGTCGCTCTGCCACGTCTGTAGGATGACCAGGGGCATTGTCTAACACCAGGAGGCACTTAAGTTCTAATTTCTTTTCAGTTAGGTAATCTTTCACATTGGGGGCAAATGCATGGTGTAACCAGTTATAGAAAAATTCCCTAGTGACCCATGCCTTACTGTTTGCCCTCCACAGCACACACAAATTATCCTTGAGGACATTCTTTTGCCTGAACGCTCTGGGAGTTTCAGAGTGATACACTAATAAAGGCTTCACTTTGCAATCACCAGTAGCATTGGCACACATGAGAAGAGTAAGCCTGTCTTTCATAGGCTTATGTCCTGGGAGTGCCTTTTCCTCCTGAGTAATGTAGGTCCTGCTTGGCATTTTCTTCCAGAACAGGCCTGTTTCATCACAATTAAACACTTGTTCAGGTTTCAGTCCTTCAGTTTCTATATACTCCTTGAATTCCTGCACATATTTTTCAGCTGCTTTGTGGTCCGAACTGGCAGCCTCACCATGCCTTATCACACTATGGATGCCACTACGCTTCTTAAATCTCTCAAACCAACCTTTGCTGGCCTTAAATTCACTCACATCATCACTAGTTGCAGGCATTTTTTTAATTAAATCGTCATGCAACTTCCTAGCCTTTTCACATATGATCGCTTGAGAGACGCTATCTCCTGCTAGCTGTTTTTCATTTATCCACACCAATAAGAGTCTCTCAACATCTTCCATCACTTGCGATCTTTGTTTCGAAAACACAGTTAAACCTTTGGCAACAACAGCTTCCTTGATTGTCTTTTTGGTGCCCACAATAGTAGCGATGGTTGATTGGGGTTTCTTGTACAACTTGACTAGGTCGGCAATACGCACTCCACTTTCATACTTATCAATGATCTCTTTCTTTATTTCAATGGGTATCCTTACCCTTATTGGTGTACGGTTGGCACTAGAAGCTTTCTTGGGGCCCATGGTCACTTATTTTCCAGAAACACCACCGAAAACACTGTAATAATACGAAATATTCCGAGTGTATGCTTGGATGTTAGCGCGGAGGCTGCCTGGTAAACAATGGCACGGGCGGCACATGTGAGGCTGGGTGAGGGCGCACATTGGACGCGTCTCGGACGAAAATCGGTGAGCGGGTTTTTAATCGGTATGCGCGGCAAAAATTTTGCGATTAAAGTAAGCGGTATGCGAAATAATCGCTATGTGATGCCATCGTTATGCGGGGGTCCACTGTATATATCATGTCTCTATGTTATTAACCCTTTGACTGTCGCAGCCGTATATATACGTCTTACGAGGTACCGTGTTTGACGTATATATACTCATAAATTCTAGCGGCTTCAAATCAAGCAGGAGAAAGCTGGTAGGCCCACATGTGAGAGAATGGGTCTGTGTGGTCAGTGTGCACCATATAAAAAAAATCCTGGAGCACGCAGTGCATAATGAGAAAAAAAAAAAAACTCCGACCGTTTTTTTTAATTAAAATGCTGACTTTGTGGTCTATTTTCGTATAGTATTTATGGTTGTATTCTCGTTTTCTTGGTCTCATTTGATAGAATGGAAAACATATTATAGAAATAGAGGTGATTTTGATTGATTTTACTATAAAAAGAACCTAGAAATGGAGCTCAAAGTAGGGGAAATGTTTGATTTTTGCCGATGTTCAAAAGTAAACAAATGATGCCATTGTCCAATAAATGTCCAACTAGCCATTCTAATATGCAGTCATGAATGGGTTGATGTTATTTATACAATTATTATAGTATTGCAGTAGTCTGCATAATAGTAAGTCTTCTATTTTTTGTTTGAATAAAAATTCAAAATAGAAAGCAAGAGTAATATCAGAGGGGCCTGGAGACATGACTGATGAGCAAGGAAAATGTTATTTTAGAGCCAGGAATGTCTGCATTGTTCATTCTGGACCTTATTTTGAAATTGTCATATTTTTTAGTTTTCGTGAAATTGGCCAAATTGCAAATTTCTGACCACATTATTAGGTAGTTGAAATCGGTAAATGGGCAGTTTCTTGTACTCAATCGATAGAAAAAATGGAGGTCTAAAGAAATAACTATGAGTTTGGGCGACTGGAACAATGGAATTAGCCGAAAATAGGGCTCAAAGTGGGCGAAATCGCCGATTTGTAAACAGCGCTGAGGTCGTTAACTTCGCGAGAGCATAATTCCGTCAGTTTTCCATCAAATTTAGTTTTTTTGGTGTCATTACAATCGGGAAAAGATTCTCTATCATTTCATAAGAAAAAATAATTTTTTTTTTTAAATTTTGCGACACCAGGAGACACCTCAGGATTGGGGGTTGCGACAGTCAGATGAAATGTGCCAGATAAATAAGCCGTAGAGCTGATTTTAGTGTCAAATTGAAGGGCTATCTTGTCCTGTCTCCCAACACAATTCCAAACATACGCCAGAAACATATCTCTCTGGAACACTTTTTCGGAGACAGGGGTCCAGTGACTCTCAAGCTGGTCCTAGTGGCATTAAAAAACAAAGATGGGGAGTAACCCAGGATAAGGACTTGGTACCTGACGTCTTTATGGAAGGGGATTCCCCTTCCAAACAATTGTAAACTCCTCCATCCTCTCCCCTCCTCCCATCTTCATGTCTTCAATAAAGATAAGTGTGATGTTATTGTTTTATTCTTCATGTATCATTGTTTTCTGTGTAGGTAAATGTATATTTCATGCAGAAAACATTTTTCTAATACTTTTGAGTGTCTGAAACGGATTAAATGGATTTCCATTATTTCATATGGGGAAAATTAATTCGGAATAAGTCAGATTTGGGATAAGATACTCTCTCTGGAACAGATTACAGTGGACCCCTGCTTTACGATCAGCTCCCAATGCGACCAATTATGTAAGTGTATTTATGTAAGTGCGTTTGTACGTGTATGTTTGGGGGTCTGAAATGGACTAATCTAATTCACAATATTCCTTATGGGAACAAATTCGTTCAGTAATGGCACCTGAACATACTTCTGGAATGAAATAATATCGTAAACCGGGGGTCCACTGTAATTATGTAATCCAGGGGTCCACTGTATATTTGTCTAGCATTAGGAATAATATTAGGAGAGAAGTAAATAATGAAAATGATTGTTATAGGAATGAAGTTAGAAGTCTGAGTAGATCTATAACCCACTACGATAACATGAATGTTGATAAGTACAGTGGACCCCCAGATTTTGCCGTGTGCAGAAATCGTACAATTCGGATTTCGACCACTTTTTTTGGTGAAATTTACCCCGGATTTCATACATGTGCTTATCCATACCAGACGCATCCGTCTGGGCTGCTCATACGTTCATGATTTACTCTTGGGCAAATTAAATGTCTTATTTTATGTTAATATACACATTTTCATTAATCCATCTATGATATTTTCTTCAAAATTATATAAGAAACACGTTACATAGCATATAAACGTGCAATTTTTATATGCTATCAAGGGGTGGGTTGGTGGAGGGAAAACATTACATTTTCTCTGGTCCAGCATTTAGAGAAACCTGTATGAATCTGCATCTGGCCCAGTCACCGCCCTTAATACATAACGCTTTTGTTTACAATTCTCAGCATGAATTGTTTATGATGGCACCTAAAGGTAGTTGTCAGAACAAGATATGTCGATGGTAATAATATGGCTCTGGGCCGCAGTGTAGGTAGCCAGTAGTTGTAGCCCAGGTGGGTTACACCTACCAGCTACCTACACTGACTTCCAACAAATAAACGCTACTCGCCTCTCGCCCTACATTAAGACTACAAATATTTTAAGGTAAGTAATGAA